ATTCCTGCTGCTATCACTGTGAAATTGCACTCATGGGAAACACAAGAAGAGCCAAGTATAGACTAGCATTAAGTACTGATTTAATTTGGTCTTTCCAGCATTAGCATTTAGACTGTTTATAGTTTGTGTAAGGGACATCTAAATGATAAACACTCCCATGAACTGAGACACCAATTATTTCCTGGCATTTCCAGCTTGTGAGAAGTATTAAACCTACCATTAACAATTAAAACACATTCCTGAGTCTGTTCAGCCTGCAGTACTGGATAGTGTACCTGTGAGGGATGATGTAAGATTCCTTTCCATACAGCAGTAATTCACTGCATATAAAAAGATTCAGCATATAGATAAAGTTTCCTTTAATCAGTAAAGCCTAAATAACTCTGGTTTTGTACCTGAAGTGAACAGCTTAGCTATCTCCCATGCTTTGAATCAACTAAATGTATATCAAAAAGATATTTCTCACCGCCAAACCAGAACTGACTTCAACTAACTAGTGAACTATATATTTCAAGTAATCAAGACAAACATGTGTTTCTAACTGTGTCTCAGGACAAGTAACAAGACTTATACTGGAACAGAGCCAGTCACAGCTTCTAGTAGAACATGCAGTCTTTTTAAGAAGAGTTCATGGCATAGTATCAGTATTCTGAACAGATCTACAAAAACTGGAAATTAAGATGAAGAATTGAAACTGATCTCCAGATCTAGTGGGAAAGAAATCCAGTCATTTGTAGGTGTTGCAGTCTGGATTGCACTCCCTGGTTTGTTTTGTTCTGAAATTTATTTCTACTTTTCTTCACTTTGTTCCTTACAGCTTCATTTATGAAAAAGAACTGTTGTCATTTCAAATAAAGTTATGTCTAGGAAATGTAGTGAAATGACTGGGCAACACACCAGAACCACTGTTAGTACCCCTCAGGCTAGACTATAGAGTCAGAAGTTTGCATGGAGGTCCACTTCAACCCAGAAAAAGCAATATGGTGACTACAGTCCTTGCAGGCTGGCCATGTGTTGCACACTGTCTTCATGGGTAAGAACTGCAGTAACACTGATCCATGTTGAGGCACAGAAGAGAGAGAAGAGGAAGAAATATTGACTCTCATTAGAATGCAAGGTCCAAGAGCAATCTAATGATAGAAACAAAAATAGAATCATAGAAAAGCCCAGGTTGGAAGTGACCTCAGAAGACCATCTGGTCTAACCTTTCATGGGAAAGGGAGCCTAGCTGAGATTACCAAGCACTTTGCTCAATTGCATCTTGAAAACTTCCAGTGATGGGGACTCTACCACATCCTTGGGAAAGTTGTTCCAGTGAAGGATTGTTCTCACTGTAAAAAAATTGCTTTCTTACATTGAGACGAAACCTCTCCTGGTGCAATTTGTATCCATTGCCCCTTGTCTTTTTCCACATGGGTCCTTGTGAAGGCAGAGCATCCATCCTCTTTGTAGCCACCCTTTAAGTACTAGAATCCTGTGATGAGGTTCCCCCCCAAGCATTCTCTTCTCCAGGGAGAAAAGCCCAAACTCCTTCAGTCTTTCCTCACAGGGCATGTTCTCCAGCCCTTTAATCGTCTTTGTGGCCCCCCTTTGGGCTCTCTCCAGTCTGTCCACATCTTTCTTGAACTGTGGGTACCAGAACTGGACACAGTACTCCAGATGCAGCCCAAGTGCAGAGTAGGATGATCAGATCTTTATCTTGGCTAGTAATACCCCTGCAGATGCAGCCCAGGATCCAATTTGCCTTTGTTGCTGCAGTGGCACCTGCTGACTTACGTTAAGCTTGTTGTCCACCAGGACCCCAAGGTCCCTTTCAGCAAGGCTGTTCCCCAGCCACACAGATCCTAACCTGTAACAGGCTCTTGGGTT